CCCACGTAGCCCCTGTTCACACTGTAGAGGGGAGGAAAAATTTACATGTCACCTCCCAGACTGAGGCTGAGAACACCTTCAAGGCCTGGGCTCTTGGGCCCCACCCCAAAGTCAGGCTGCTCTGGCCACCAACTGTGTCATGGAGGTCACCATGGTCATCCCCAGCATGACCAGCACTGGCTCCGAGTATATGTAACTGTGTCTGTGTGATTAGGTGTATGTAGATGGAGGACTGCCTGGTGCCTATGTGTTGCCTTCATGCATGGGTATGTCTGTAAATGTACTTGTGAGAGTGTACATGCCTGTTATCACACTGCTGAGGGCAAGCTTGTGTGCCTGCAAGCGAGGGGCAACATGGCCCTGCAGCGACAAACTCTGAAGTCCCCATTCAGAAACCACGCCTGCAGAGATACTAACCTCTTCTCATGGACTTAGGAGGCATTTTCAGGGCATTCCTCCTCAAATGTTTCAGCTGTGGGCATCAGGCTGGCTGTGGGTGGTGTGGGGAGCTCTGAGCCCTGGCCAAGCCTTTGCCCCTATCTGCTGTGTCTACAGAAGGCCACCTATTTTGGCCTGGGAAGCAGGAAATGGGGGGAAAAACTACAGGCCTGGAGGGGGCTGACCTCACAATGGTACCTTTAAACCTCAGCCTGCTCCCACTAAAGGGTCTTGGGACACAATGATTGATGACCCTTCCTGGCTGCAGAACAGGAATTCCTTTTTTGCATTCCCAGCCATGGGCCCATCCAGTACCCAGCACAGTTCTGACAGGGAAGAAGACTTGGTATCAGGACCACCTCTGCAAGGAAGCCACATACTCAGAACCAGACATGCTGGCCTTAAAAAGCTTCTTGGGATGGTCCTGCCCTAACACTGTCCCCCATGGGCACTGGTAGTCAGAACCACCACAAGGCTCATGAGCCAACGTTGAGTCTCAGGGACTCAGGTTTTTGTGTCTGACTTTCCATGAGCATTTCTCATTTCTGCAGGGATTGAACCAGGCCCAAGGCTCAGCCTTTCCCCACAAACCCCTTCCCTGACCGGGTACCATAGCCGAGAGATGCCCGAGCAAGAGTAGCCAGCCAACACCCTAGAAGGCTTGGCATAGCAGGGCAGGGGTGGGTGTACAAGGAATGGCCAGAGGGCCTACCCCAGAGGGTCTCCCAGTGCCTCAGGCTCCTCTCTCTCCTAGGATGGCAGTCCAGCAACAAGCAGGTGGCCCTCAGCCACGGGGCTTGGGCCAGAAGATGGCAGGCCAGGCCTGGGATCTCCTTACGGGCAGTCACCTCGCCTCCCAGTCCCTCACAATGGCAGCAGCAGTGAGGCTACTTTACTGGCCCAGTTGGGCACCCTGCACGTGTCTCCACCCCACAGGTAGTACAGAGGCATAATCTTTGATGCCATACCCAGATCCCATTCTAATCCCCGAGCCCTTAAATCTCACACCAGGTCCCATCCTGACCCTTAACACTTGATCCTTGGGTCTCAGCTTATTGCCTTCTGACTCATGAAACCTCACCAGACCCTTGAGCTGGCAGAGTGAAGACTGGTACTGCATCCCTGTCCCTTAGTGCATCTTCTTTCGCCCAGCACTGACCTGGCCAGAGGCCTTTCGCGGAGCCGCGACTGCGGAGTAGACCTGGGCTCAGAGGTGTACAGGATGCTTCGGGAGTCTGCAGAGCCGACGGCTGCGGAGCCCAAGCAGTCAGGCTCCTTCCGCTACTTGCAGGGCATGCTAGAGGCCGGCGAGGGCGGTAAGATTTTACCTCACCCGCCTTCCCGCTCCCTGAGGTACCGAACCCCGCGCCCCCAACCAACCCAAGCCACGCCTTTGCGACCCCACGTCCGGCCTCCCGGCTATTAGCTCCTCCCCCGTGTCCTCAGCGCGTTCCCACACACCTCGCTGCGCCCGGGCTTTCTCATTCCCACCCAAGCCCTGTCACCCTTCCAATCCCCATCCCAGTCTCTCTGCCGGTGGCTACGGAAGCAGGGCCCAGCCCCAAACTCCGCAGAAATGAAGTTTTTCCCTTTTCTGACCTCCGCACCGGGCTCTTCCCAATCGTGCTCTGGCTTTCAGGGGAACGGCCCGGGCCTGGCGGCCCCCGGAACCTCAAGCCCACGGCGGGCAAGTTAGGCGCTCCGCTGAGCGGCCTGCAGGGGCTGCCAGAGTGCACGCGCTGCGGCCACGGCATCGTGTGAGTACCTCCCCTGTCTTCCCCACCCGTCCCCCCACCCCCGTGGTCCCCTGACCCCGCCCAAGGCTCTTAGTGGGGGCGTGCTCTCGGATCGGTCAGCCCCAGACGCTGTCCTCTCCAATCATCCGTCAGGGGTACCATCGTCAAGGCGCGGGACAAGCTCTACCACCCCGAGTGCTTCATGTGCAGCGACTGCGGCCTGAACCTCAAGCAGCGCGGTTACTTCTTTCTGGACGACCGGCTCTACTGCGAAAGCCACGCCAAGGCGCGCGTCAAGCCGCCTGAGGGCTATGACGTGGTGGCGGTGTACCCCAATGCCAAGGTGGAACTCGTCTGAGCCGCTCCCGGAACCTCCCGTCCCCGCCTCTGCTTTTTTTAATGTCCCCGCTCACCCGTGTAAATATGTTTACGCCCTGCCTCTCTAATAAATTCCCTCTGCTTGGCCTCAACCGTGTCGGTGCCCTGGCCTGCCTCCCTCCAGCACAGGCCATGGCTTCTGAGTGCTACACCTGTTCAGGTGCCAAGCATTTTCTTAGGCACTGGGTGCAAGGGGGAGCAAGACAGGTACTGTGGTGCCCTCAAGGAAGCCACAGCCTGGGTGGATGGCAGACATGAATCACAAGGGCAGTCCTGTTAATAGGGAAGCGAGGTCTGAGGTGCTAGAAGGAGACGTCACGCCAAAGGGTTTGACCTGGATGGAGTCAGGGAAAGTGTCAGCAGAGAACTAAGGGATGAGGGAGGGAAGAGCTCTACAGCGTGAGGAACTGTGTGCAAAGATATGTCAAAGGCGAGCACAGGCAGCAAAGGCCCCGTGTGGGCACCAGCACGAGCGCGGGCGGACCCTAGCAGCTGCAGGAGGGACTGCCCCGCGGCGGATAGGACAGGGGAGATCACCGGTTTGGTTGGGGGCGGTATCTGCCTCCCGGCAATCTCAGCATTTCTCTCTTCCGGGTTTCTTCCCGTCCTCTCCGATCCCCCCGCCCCCGCCGCCCCCACACACTGTATTCTTTCCTTCTTTCTCCTTTCCTACTCTCCCCACCAGGGAGCGCGCAGGGCGTATGTGTATGTGTGTGTGCGTGTGTGTGTGTGTGTGTGTGTGTGTGTGTGCGCGCGCGCGTGTGAGTGTGCGTGTGTGTGTGTGTGTGTGTGTAAGATTTTAGTAGAAAGAAAAGAACACTCGCCTCCAGAGTACACGCCACTCCTTCTCCGAGGCCTGGCCTTTCACAGCTTGGTTGCACACTCCTGTAGAGACTCGCACTTTTAAAAAATATAAGTGATAGCAGAGTTGGTGAATTGTGTCTGTTCTCACTCGATGACGCATCCTGGACTCCGGGTCACGTGGATCTACCCTCTCCTTAGGTTGCTTGGAAGAGGAAGCAGCCTCGTTTATTTAGTGAGCCCCGAGTAAGGGACGATTGTGCTATATTCAGTTTTGTACTATCACAGACCACAAAAGACTGTTACTGTTGCAGCAAAAATAGAAATCTTCTGATAAACAAAGAAAATAAGAAACAATGAGCAGGCTGGGGAAACAGCATAAACAGGCCTGAAAGAATTAAGCAATCTTGGTTATACTTTAGCTGTTACTACTAACAAACACTTGTCCTTCACAAAGCTAAGCAAAACCAATTACTCTCTGATTCCATATGAATTGTACCCTGCACCTGGCACTTACTCTTTCTGCATTCTCTTGTAGCAAATCACCCCTCTTAGCTGTTTACATTTCAGAAAGAAGGTCACAGGCCAATAACCCAGAGATGAACAGACCCAATTACCAGGCTGCCTGACACCAGCAGTAACTTTTAAAATATTGGAAGAAGAAGAATTCAAGACAATCAACACTTTGATCCTTTTCACTTACCCTGGACTGCGGGTTCCACCTATAAGACCCCCTGTAATTCCCCAGGACAGAGGGGCACAGTTCTTGAGGCGCTGCATGCTCTGTCTTCCCTTGTGCATGGAAGAAAAATAAAGCCATCTCTCTGTTCCTCCAAAATCTCTGTCTCTGTATTTCTGTTTGGCATTGGTGCACAGGAAGCCCATATTTCGGCAACATTACCAATTCACACTCTCACCATCAGCACGTGACAGTGCTCACTTCCTCAGACTCTTGCAACACAGGGTATTACCAGGTTTTTATTTTTCTTTTTTGCCAGTCTGATAAGTAAAATGCGATATGTAGTTACTTTAATTTGCATTTCTCTGATTACCAGAGATGAGCATTCATTCAACAAACATTTGTTGTGTTTGCTGGTGGGTGCTGAATGAACATGGAACAGAATGGTCTTCTCCCTCCAAGAATTCCTCTAAACCCTTCACTCATTTTTCTGAGGAGTAACTTCTTAATGATAGATAGGAACTTATCATATTTTTGCAAGAATCTTTGTTACTGGACCCTATTCCACTGAAATATTTTCTTATTATTGGAACTATCATATTGATTTAATTATTAGCTCTTAAAGAGTTTAACATGCTAATCTCTCCTCCTTGTTCTTTGTTTACAAACTTGCCAAGGTTATTCTCATACATTTCCAATTGTCCAGAGATTTAGACTCAGTATCAGGCTCTGGAAAAACAGACAACAAACCCCTTTGAACCGTGACTGGGGTTTCCCTGATTCTAGAGACTCACTTGGGGAGAACTGGCTAGAATCCTTTCCTCCCAGAGAATACTGTGATCTGTGCTTATTCTGCATTTAATCAGGTTGATGAAATAAAGATTCAGATTTTAAGGCAAGACCAAAAAAAATTTAAACATAAAACTTTTTCTCTGCCCTTTAGCCTCCTCCCTCCCCCTAGTGTGCACTGCGCAGCTTCCATGTGCGTTAACTAGACCTCCCCAATGGCAGAAATACCTCCTCAACCATAAACATCAATTTTTCTCCTGGTGCCAGCCATGTAACTCTTAGAAGGTAACATTCCTTTCTCAATCCTGTAAGGGGTCATGATGACACACCTCCACTTGCCTTGTATGTGCCTACATCTTTGGTGAACTTTATGTACAATGCCAGTGTATAATTTCCCTTAAAGATAGCGATTGCTGCAGAATAGACTGGTCAGACGACCTGGGTAAATACTGGGCCACACCTAGTGGAAGTTCTTAGCTTAAATACTTACTTATGACCTTATTAATGTTACTCGATATATTTCTTCTTGTTTTTTTTTTTTTTTTTAACCGGTACGTGGGCCTCTCACTGTTGTGGCCTCTCCCGTTGCGGAGCACAGGCTCCGGACACGCAGGCTCAGCGGCCATGGCTCACGGGCCCAGCCGCTCCGTGGCATGTGGGATCTTCCTGGACCGGGGCACGAACCTGTGTCCTCTGCATCGGCAGGCGGACTCTCAACCACTGCGCCACCAGGGAAGCCCTCGATATATTTCTTATATTCTGCCTATTTTGCCAGATGATTGTTTCTTGCATTACCAAATGTGTGACTGAGCCTCAGATAAAATTAATGATTAGGCAACTTGAAATGACTGACCAAATATATAGATCTATAAGATCAATGAGTGTGATAGTGTAACTCTAGATATGTGAAGAAGCAACAAGAGGGAACCATTTCCTGGACCATAACAGACTAGTGAGATAGGCAGTCCAGAGGCCTTTGGTTACTGTTAACAGGGCCTAGTCCAGTAATAGCACATTGAGTGGCCTATCAATGAAATCCTCTACTGACCTGGGAATGAACATTCCTAGTGTCATGGGACAAATTGGTCATGAAATGGCCCCCAGACCTTGGTTGAAATTAAGACTGAAAGGGAAGGGATTGTAAAATAAAGAATGTTGCCCACCATCCAGTTCTACAAGAATCAAGTCATTAGCCACTTCAGTCACTGGCCTACAGTAGACCCTGAAAAGAATTCAAGGCAAAGATCAGGATGAGGCATTCTGTGTTCTGGGAAAGGTGGTAGAACAGGCCTTCAGAGATTTAGATATTTTCAGGAGAAATTTTTAAGAACCTTGATTCTTGCATCTTCTCATACTGAGAAAAGCACTAAAACCATTAACTAAGATGTCTGTTGCTCATGGCTAGCAGCAAACTTCTACTGAGATGTGAGCTGGATTGCTAGTATCCACTTAAACAAAATCACATATATACTGACCTCCCCACCTACGTCTACGAACAGTTCTCAGAGTGCTCTCAGACTGTCTCCTGGGCTATAATCCTCAGTTTGGCTCAAATAAAATCTTTCATTTCTTTCTTAGGTTGACTATTGATTAACTTTTTTCATTGACAGAGTGTTGTGAAGTAATCTGGTATATTTTTATTTCCATTTTCTTCTTACAGATCTTGTGTTCCTGCTTTAATTTGTTCCTAGGAATTTCTTCCAAGGCTCCTCCCGCGGACCCCACCCCTTCCCTCCCTCAAGGAGCACAGGGCAGTGTGCAAGTGTCCTCTGAGAATTGAGTGGCTGGAGTCTTGTGCCCTGGTCCTGCAGGCCCGTGCAGTCTGCAGACAAGGTTAGGCACCACCCGCTCATACGGTGAGCAGAGGACTGGCCCACAGCAGGGGAAGCTATTAGGCTCAGGATCTCCAGTGAAAAAATCCTGTGACCTCAGGCACAGGCCCCCACCCCTCTCCCAGACTCAAACCTGCCGAAACCTGGCTCCCCACTCCCAGCAGCCGCCCTTACTCGTCTTAATCCCACAGTCACCACCTCCCCACACGAGGCCTACCCACCCCAACTGAGGGGTCCTCCAGTTACCTAGGTACCATCAAGATCAAGATCAAGCAAAGCTGCAGCAACTGCTGTGGAGACTCACCCTCTGTTCACCAGTGCTGAATAGAAACTCAGAAACAGAGTTTTGGGGTGCAGTAAAGAAGAACAGCTTTTATTGCTTTGCCAGGCAAAGGAGGCCACAGTGAGCTAATGCCCTCGAGAATGGGTGACCCACCTTGGAGGGGGTAGTGAGGAGTTTTATAGTGTTCAAGGAGCAGGGCATTATCAGCTTGTGGACAGTTCTCAGACTGGTTGGCATAAGGTGAAGTTTCAAGCATCATCAACCTTCTGGCTTTAACCAGTCTAGGGTCTGTGTTCTTGGGGTCAGCAGTTTTCATCTGGTGGGAGGGGGGCTGCTTCCTATAAAAACAGCTTAGTAATGTGTGTCAGGCCTTTATATCTTTCAGGGAACGGGGAGTTCGGTGAGTCTGCCATGTGACAGATTTATAGTCTAATTTTTACCATTTTCCCAGCCCAACAGCTATTCTTTGTTTCTACATCTTCACATTTCCCAATCACTAACTCTTGAGTCAGCCTTTTACTTCAAAAGACAAGGACGCAGGGGCTTGTACACGGTTTCACAACCAGATCAACCCTTGCCAAGGTAGGCATCCTGCGGGGAGGGGCGGGGGTGGGCAGTATCCAAGAGGAGTGGCGCCAGAGCTGCCAGTCTTCCCTGCTTCAAGGCTCAGGCTCTACCCAGTCCCTCAACTACCTCCTT